GCGATACCGTGCTAGATTTACCAGCGCGTACGTAGCCGCCCGTTTCACTCAGCCAGCAATAAATACTGCTTTAGCTGAGCGTGTTTCACTATACGTACAGGCTGATTCCAAATTAGCGTCGCAAATTTAGACGCCTATCCCACGTGTCTAAAAGAAGAAACCTGCCTGTTGTTTACGGTTCGTCCGACTTCGAAACGAAACTTAAGTACCCCTTTGTGATTTATGCACCATCCCGTACTAAAAATAAATTCTTTTTCCACATGGGATATAATCAGAATCAGCAAATCTAAACGATTGCGATTGCTCAATACTTTCCTCCGGATGCATTTCTTTGCTGTTTTCCGTTAGAAGTATGCGAATTCCCGGCGCTCGTATTAATAACAGCTTTTCCAGCGTCCCGCTTCCTAGAAATAGTTGGAATACCGATTAATCGAGTAGAAAGAAGTGGCACGACGAGAGAGCTTTACTGGGTGCCGATTAACGCGATGCATCCCGTGTCCGCTTCTGATCGCGAGAGCCGACGCGAGAAACTATTCTCCGCTTTCGAACCATTTCCTTCGAATCGTTGAGAATTGTAATCTTCCGGCGTTTTTTTACCGCGCCAGATGAAAAGAGATTTGCAATTGTCGAAGTGGGCTAATCAGAGATAATCAAAGGTGCGAATGAGGGAAACTCGTTCCGTCCATCCGGTGTATCAAGGTCGTGGTTGTTCTTAAATTTTCCGCCTAATTTCAACTTTAGCTAAGAAGAAAAATATTAATTAACCTTTGCAATAAGGTTATTTTCTTCAATAATACAATGAACAATTGTATTCTAGCTATCGACACAGTTTGGATTTCATCATCCAATCAATTTTCCTTACCGAGGCTAAACAAAAGCGATCAGAAGCCTTATCAGTGACAAGATCAACCTACATCGACGTTTCGTTAGAAATCCCTCAAGGTCTCAGAGATTTCGATCCAACCTATTTCTGTTCACCCGAGATCCGTGCCTTTAATCCTTTCAACCATTGACTGACACCTTATCTCCCTGTCTATCATCCCCACCAGGTAATTGCCGTTTGTTCATCGATTAAACGCCGCGTTTCCTCGCGACAAACGTTCACCTTTCCACTCGTATTCATGTCCGCAAGATCGCTATCGGGAATTTCTCGCTTCATCATTCGCGAAGATACGAGGCAACGGTTGAAAGTGTGGGCTAATGGCAGATTCCTCGAGGTGTAAACGTAACTAATGCGATGATTCATCGAGAAATTAGCCAAGAGTCTTTAAACTGGTGGATCCATCGCATGCAATTAGTCTTCTTTAAACAATGCGAATCTATCGCTCTGAATTCTTCATTTCTAACGTGAAACATCTTCGAACCCGGCGCGAACTTGCAGAAATTCCTCTCGATACACTTATCCAAGAAAGATGTCATTGATAAACGTTCACGATCTCGGCGAAAGAAAATAAAAGTGAAGAAATTACAAGGTTTCCTACATCCTGTAGGAGCCCGTCAGTGTAGGTCTAACGTTCAGATCGACGTACAGTTAAATCCGTGGTACAATTAGCGGTGTCTCGAGCAGGTTATTTAGTTGTAGGTACAAAGTTGCAGCGTTCGCAATATGATCGAAGGATAAATAGCGCGGACGCACGACCACCTAAGTGAACGCTTGTAATGCTCGTGGAATCGTGAGCGTGCAATGACGTAGGATCATTTATCCGTAGGACACGGTTTGTTGGCGTCCGCGGCGAGGGGATGCTCGATAAACTACGTTATTTATTGCACTCTTAAAGCGCAAAACTCAGCGTTACTTTTTCCCTATTTTTTTTTCGCCCAAGGAAAAACTGTTTTGTTGAGCGGCGATGATTAATGAGAAACGATGTACGCGCGGCCACCGAGCCGCGATAGGTTTCGGGGAACATTGTAACGTTCTGTTACGCTAGCTTTCCTCCTGCCTTGTCTGGAGTGTTCTTGAAGGATTCATTGCGACTTACATGAGCTTTCGAGTTAATAAATGATAGGGGGAATAGCAACAGCAGGAATCACAGTAAATACATGGTATCAGATGGGGACGATGCGGATTTTGATTTTTCAAACTATAAATATTTTTTGATGTAGTACGTATCCTCAGCAATAGTCCTCTATCTAAGATAATTTTATCAATATTATTAATAAAAATTAATAAAAATGTTGAATATTTATTTACAATACGGCATTACAAAAGAAAAGTTACAAAAGTACCTCGTGTTTTTCCTCGCTCTTCTTACCATTTCTTTTGCCTGCAACTGCAGGTGCATCAGGGCCGACACGAGTGCACCGGCTGGATGCATTTCATCCGCAACTATTTCCATATTCGTATAGGAAACTATTTTTCCTCTAGCTGTCTCTTTCTTTTCCACCGAGCCAGGTACACGTTTGCATACACTGAGGGAAAGATTACCGTGTCTCGTTGTAGGCGTTTCACTATGTCGGGACGCATCTGGGATCGGGGTCCTCTAACGGGACGCGAATGTAAATTCTGCCAAAGCTCGGGGATAAAGTCCTGCAGCGTGTTGTTCTCCTGGTTTGTAACGATCTTATTTACTTCGGGGGAGGGAGCAGTCCGTGGAAATCATTTTAATATCGATCATCCAGCTAATTGATCGAGAAATTTGTAATTTAGAAAATGTTGAAACGTTCTTTTGCAAAAGAAGCCGGTCGTGATAAAAGGCCTAGTTATTTTCGTATCTTTGCAAATAAGCATAATGTTGTACGAATTCCTTCAAACTAATAAGGATTTGCGACAGAAAGCTGTCGTTACATTTGCCGACACCTAATATTATTCTAAAAGGAATCGTGTAGTCGAGTAGGTGATTCGAATTCCTCGCAAATCTGTCCCGCAACGCGCAGACCGCTTTCTAGAGACTGGAAATCCTTCGTGAGGATTTCTATACTGGCCGTAGATTCAGTTTTATACGCGCCGAGTCGAATTTAAATTTGTCCAGAAGCGAAAGGATCTGTCCAGCTTGTCTTTTAACGGGATCGAATGCAAAGCAGCACGTCAGGGCGCGAACACCTAAGTATGTACTTACTACGTTCGCTGATAAATTTCGTCTTTCTCCTCTCGGATTTCACGGTTCTCTCCATGGCAGAAAATAGCCTATGGTGATGTGTTAAATTAGCATGACCTATGATTCCATCCACGACTGGTCCTATCCTTAATGGCTAAGGTTCAAAGGAAACCTTCTCTAAGCAATTTTCTTTTTTATCAAAATAACTGACTTCATAATTTATGTCACTATGACTGGTTTAACCCAAGTCACTGTGAGCCATGGAAGACTTAATCTAAGTCGGTGTTGAACATGGTAGAATTAACCCAAGCCATTATTTGCCATGGTAGACCTAGCCCAACCTACTATTAGCAATGGTAGACCTAAATCCATGGCAAACATAATCCAAACCACCATATTAGGAACTCTGTTACAATGAAAAGAGTGCAAAGGCACACACCTCAACCCATAAAGCCTAAAAGGAAGCCTAAACTCTGAAAAATGCACGCACTGATTGTGTATAACAATGAAGATTTTAGAGAAGAAAGTTTCGAATAATCGAAGGAGAAAGAAAAGACAGAGTGGCAATAAAATTTCCATTTAAGGGGTGGAATAATATCCTCGTTCCCATGTACTTTGGCTACGACTTTTCACTAACGATCGTCGGAACATCGAGCACTCGAGGCTGGCTGATTTATCGTCAGGTGAAATCTGTCTGGGTGATCTGACGCGGTGCATTATGCATTCGCACGCAGTTTCAGAGGATGGTATCGCGAAATTCATCAGAAATAGGCGAGGGGCACGGCGCGTTTTGGTCCCGTTAGGAAACCAGATATGGAACGATTTGGTGAAACAAGGGAACAAGGCGCGGCGTTGTTCTCCTCGGCCTCGTGTTACACATTTGAGAAAAGGCAAGCTGGGCTAAGGAATGTCTTCCCTGTCACGTTTCGCCTGCAACAACAGCAGCTGTGTTACTTTTACCATTCTAATGATAATATTTTGAAACATATGAAAATGAGTAACAAAGGGCCAATTTACAAAATTTAAACCATAAAATTATTACTACTAACTTTCAAGTGTGCCGGAGTGAAAGGGTTAAAAAAATGAAATGATTATATTGCAAATAATTGTAATTATAATGGGTTTTATTTGAGATTACCATTTTTATCGTAGCGACGAATGTGTTAATTCTGAAAATATGGTTACTTTGTCGGATTTATTAAAAAAAAAAGTCTGTGGTGATATAATTTGCATACGAGCAGGTAACGTGTCCGTCACGGTCGCATCCCGCATACCTATCATATCAGGCCAAAGCCTGGTTCTTTTTCTTACTCTTTACAGTTCTACCGATTTCGTAAGTGTAGCGTGGCGATCGCAAAGTGTTTCAGTGCGTTTACGCGCGTGTACTGCAAGGAACTGGGACGAGCATCCGTTTCCTTCCAACGATTCCGCGTCGCGAAACCTCTCTGTTATTGGTGTTCGACTGTTTCGCAATTGAAAATTCTTATCCTTTTTCTTTTCTTTATTTTTTTTCTTTCTTTCTTTTTTTTTTCTTTTTATCCCCGTCGGTTAAACGACGCGAAAATCGTCGATCGTAATCGAGGCCGAAACGATCGGGACGATTGAACCGTAAAACTTGAACGGCATGGAAGCCGATTTTTAACGAACCGAACAGACGAAGAAACTTGCTCGCGAACGTTTTTTTGCCGATTTCCTGGCTCGACTGCCGATTTTCGATTACATAAAGCCGAACCACAGCTGCGCAATAGACGCTTGTTAATGGTTTTTGCCAATTTTATTGCCAAAGTGCAATGGTTCCTATTCGGAATCTAACGAAACAGGAAATAAATAGTAATCGAAAGATATGAAATTGTAAAAAAATTATGTTATCATATTGAGAAGAATTGAATTAATTATTACAAATTTAGAGAAAAAAAGGTTTCGAATTTTATAAAATTTTATAAAATCTTTTATTTTGTTTTCCAGGTTCCATATGGCAAAGGAGCTGCTAATATGCTAATTTCATAGAACCATTCCTGTCATCTTCCAAATTTTCATGCCAAAAGGTACGTACATTTTTTAAAATTCACATCATTTCCCTAATTAGTTTCAATTAAAAAGATTTTTCTCGTAAGCGTGCCAAAGCGCGGACGAGTGTTAAAATAGAAAAACAAATGAAAGCACAAAGTGTAAGGTGGTGCGTTGAAATTCGGCGCGTTAAAACGGGAAAGCATAATATTCGCGGCTAATAACGAGCAAACACGTCGTGCCGGCAATGTGTTTTTATTCGGATCGTGAATTTTTCTTATGACATCGTTCCCGTTTTACGAGCCTCCTGAATCACTCGAATTGCTCCCTTTAAATTCAACAGCCTCGATCTCGGCCAATTATCCTTCCTCTGTCTCTTTCATTGAATCCATTGGCCGTGTTCAGCATTCGTCAAGTTATTTATACGACCATGGAAATGATTCTTCAACTCATTGTATAACACTTTACCGAAAGCTTTTCGTGATTTATCTCGAGGATATTTCTCCTCGAAAGATTTTTGTAACCAACCAAATGTAATATGAAAAGCATTTTACGATTCGCTCGAGTACCTTTCGCGTTTAAATATTTGCTATATTTTTTCCGAACGCACGCGAAATAACTTAAAGAACCCCGTTTAAATCCGGGATGAAGAAGAAAACGTAAAAACAGACATTCTATTAGGTGGAAAGGAAGAAACACGTCGAAGAAGTAATTGAATTCTCGTTAGACATCTTCCTGTCGGGCCAAGTAAAACCCGAACGATCCAATTTGGTGGGAAATATAAACGTTACTACAGCAGAAAGAAGAAAAGACGACCATTTGCTAGCGGGAAGCAAAAAGAAGGAAAATGGTTCGCGTTTCGCCGCGGTTGAAGGTCGATTGATATTTTTCAGCCGGGATGCGGTCGAGTTTTTAAAAGCGTTCCTTCACGAAATCACCCTCTTAGGCCGCGTGTCCGATTGTTAAGTGGCAAGTAGGTTATGGGGTCTGGCCGCTTAATTGCCTGGATTTTTATCATTTTTTTAATTGTGCCGACCGGTGTTCCTTTAATTACACACGTGCAGCGACAGAGAAAGCCAGAACGTTACATCTTTTTCGTTGCTTCGAAAGAAATTGTGAGATTGCTTCGAGATTCTTGCTAGAAGATGAATTACCTCTGTCGTCTGGGTTTTGCGGTAGAAACGTTGTGTGAAATTTTAATAGATTTCTCGGAAAAAGCGAGTAATCGAATTCCTAAAAGGTTAAACGCATCGAAGTCGTTAATTCAGCGAGTTCAGAACAATTTGTCGTTAAAGTAAAGATTGCAGTATCGTCGATAGAAAAATGTGTGATTTAAATGATTGAAATGATTGAAATGAGCGATTCTTGAAAATCTCACGCTCCATACCGCGCAGTTTCACGCGTCAGTCGGGGAACCAAGGAATTACAGTTCAAGGACCAAGAATAATAATCGCGAGGCGAGAGTAGCGTGATTATTAACAGGCGATAAGAAGGCGCAACTTTCTTCGTCCGTAACGAAGAACGGAATTTGCATTGTTACGCTGACTAAAAAATGCTTATATAAAAGAATCATCGTTGAAACGGTTATAACAAAGACAATGGAACAATGAAAAAAATATGTGTATATTTTTTATTATATCCAAATTCCTATAACATCATTTATGTATTTCTATAGAATCGAGGTTACCCTAATCAACGCTAATTGAACACAGAATCAGTGATTTGAATTCTTAATGAATATTTTACACATAATGCTAATTGCAAAAAAAGGTCACATCATTAGAGATAAGAATAATTAGGCCACAAAGAGGGCCACGGAAATGTCCTCGACGCGTCGTTTTCTTCCAACGATATCAATCGTCGCGGAAGAGAAACATAGTTTGTCTTTTACAATTAACACAGAGAAACAATCGTCAGGGAAGAAAGGCAAGATCTCAGGGGACAGGGGAAAAACGACAAGACGAGGTCGAAAGACTCGTGCAATTAGTAATTATAGTACGCGGTCTGGAATTACGGTCCGTGAGGTGAAAGAATCGAAATACTCGAAAGAATCGAGAACAGAGGGCCGGGAGAGGACGTTAAATCAAGAAGGAGGAAACTTCAATTTCAACAGCGCCATGTCGGTCAAGGTAACCGTGGTCGATCCAAATTTTATCGCCACCCGTTGAACAACGTTTCTTTTTCTTTATTCTTTGTACCAGGTATCAAGAATGTGCCCAGACACATTCTTGATATCATTCTTGATAAGAGCACCTCAGATGATCAATCCGTATGTCAATGCTGTCAATATTTATTCCAAAATGTCTATCGAGAGAAGGCTTGTAATATATTTTGTTCATACAAAAGATATTTTGATCTTCAACAAATTATCTTATCAATATTTTAAATTACTTGCCTTTGAGAAGGTACATCCCCTAAAATTCTTCTTCATCGTCATCCCATTTTCTTTGCGAAAAATGGAACTATACCTCTCTTGCTATAAGGTTCTCAATTGTAACGTTTAAAAAGAAGGGAAGAAAATTGCCGTCTGTATTTTCCATTTTCCATGACAAAGAAATGAACTTGAAATCTAATCCGGACTCGTTGCGTCAACGAAGATGCATCCTGAGAGACGAGGCGGATTCGAAGAGAAATCTCGCACAATGCATTATGCATCCGTTGTTTATCAACAATCGTCGACCATTCCCGGAGAAGGTTTACACGCAATTAGCAGGCTGGCCTTTACAGGCATCGTTGCGTCACTGACACTGACTGTCGGCTAGACACACAGTTGACATTGACACGCGTCGCGATTTCAAAGTCAGATCCGTCCTCAGGATCGCTCGGGACATATACCGTGAGAGTTTTTTTTTTTTTTTCACGCAATCGAATACCTTGAACGATCACCAACAAGCCGAGAAAATAATGGAGAGAGCTATGGAACGAGTTGGGTAGAGGGGAAAAAAAAACAATTGCAATCTTTTTGTTCGTCATCAGAGCAATTGCGGAGCACGTCATAAGGAAAATATTTCAAATCGTGGAGAAAGATGACGACACTCTGATGTTTGTAGTATCTTCTCGCTGGAAAGTCTGATTTATGAGCTGTGCTATGATTAAAAGTGGAAAATTAATTTTACTCTATTCGCTTGTGCAAGTTTTAAGAGGTTGAATTTTATTTTTAGCTGTGTTGCATATTGCATTTTGATCCAAACAATTATTTTTCTGAATTTTGCCCTGAATTCTAATTGAAAGTACCAAATAGTACTTCTTTTTAACCTATGCAATCTTCAGAAAATCACGTTATACGAATGAAGCTATAAACACCATAAACGTTGATAGGAAAAACAGAGAAGGAAACCAGTGCTGAAACTATGCAGTGGAAAAAGCTTTTCATTCCGGTAGTTTCGAGATCTATAAGGTAACGGTATTTATTGTGATCGAATGTAATGATAGAAATAAACGGACCGAGATGCTTTTGTTCTCGCTTAGAAAGTTACTGTTTAATCGACTTCAACGAATGGTCGACTATTTCGGAAGTGAAGTACAACTTCAGGGCGGTTTAAGGATTCTCAGAAGTCTCTGGAATTCAGGGTGATAGTAGAGCAGTTGAATCCTACAAGGAATCAATTTTGTCGGTAAAAACAAGAAAACGTTTGATATAACCTTATACGGCTGCGGATATGATTAATAGTTGTAGAAAGTACTTGTTTGGAGGTAATTCTTCGAAAGAGAAGGTATCTAACTTCTGAGATTTCAAGTTCTTTATACTTGGTTAATTTTAGAGAATTTCTTGGAGTAAGGGTAGGAAAGGTGTGTATGCTTCCTTTATTGTTTTCAAATTTTCAAATTTCTAAAGAACTTCACCCAAAATCCTAATTTTTATTCCAAGTCATCGAAAAAGCAACTTTCTGCCCGCTCAAAAAATGTACAAAAAGAAAATGTTTCGTCCTAAATTTCTAGTCAAGGATTTTTCAATTCAACCTTGAGAACCACTTCGACCTCGACTTCTTAATATTCGAATCAACCAATCAATTAGTGGAAAAAAAAGAAACACCGCAAAATACGAGCAACAGGATCAAGAAATCATGCCGAATCGAAATGAAGCCATAGAAGCATAACGCAGACGTATTATTACGGCGTATAAAGGTGCTCGTAAAAATTCGTTGCAGAAAAAAAAAGCATGAAAAAAGAAAGACTTTCAGGAACTGACAATCTCGAGTTATCCTTGAGGAAACAAACAGGATCGAAAGCTGAAAGGTCATGAAAATCGAAGGAGTCGCTCTAACGTGACAGCGAAAGTGTTAATTGTCGCTTGAAAACATTCCGCATGCACGAGTGATGATTGACAAGTTTAAAGAGGAAATTGAGACGAAAGAGTTAACATTGGCAAAGTGGATGATTGCGAATACGCAGGCTTTGAGTACCGTTAAGAGAAACAAACCAGCTATTATATTGTATAATCAACGTGCATTTAGTTAGCCAAGAAAATATGGATTTATTATTTAATTAAATACGAATATTTCATTTAATTTTATAAAACGAGGACAATAGGAAGTGTAAAATTAAATTAAAATTATGGCTCTCTCCATGGTCCGTCGTCCGAGGGTTGATGATAAAAATGCTAATCACGAATCCCTGGAAACTAGGAAACATCTTTATAAAATCATAGACAGATTAATGACATAGATATACCCATCACCACTTATTATAGCTGATTTTTATGAGCAGTCCGTGTTTCTAGGCGATCGTTAAGATGATTGTCGGAAAAATGCTAGACTCGCAGAATGTTCTATAATATAAAGTCTACATATATCCTTGAGGAGTTTGTCACGATGATCGCGGCTACCGCTTTCAGCGTGCAATTATCGACTCTTACGTTTTCCAAACTGATGTTTCTATGGACTAGGTGTTGGCGTGTGTTCCCAGTTATGGTAGGAATATATCGAACTTTCTTCGTAGGAATTCTCTGTGCCGATTACGTCTGGATACTGAAACAGTGATGTATCGTTGATGGGGTGAAATGGGGAGACGAAGATGAACATTCATGCTGACCTAAGAT